AAAATGGGGGTCTTTTATATGAATCTGTGGCAAAATTGTTAAAATACTTGTGAGGTTTCACATGCCAATATTGTATGCAAAGTATCTTAGCCCCATCACATTATTGTTTCGCACAAGAAGATTCCAATAATATTTCAAACATAAGTCTGCATACACTAAGTGACCCAGGGACGAACCGATTTTAACCATGACATATGAAACGTATACAGAGGACCACAACTTGATGTTATATGCCAAATATCGAAGCTCTGAATGCGAGAAAGGCAATTACTATGTTAAGTGTAGTTATACAACAGTCTATGAAGACATTAAATGTATATATTTGTGTATAGGAGAAATAATTTTGATATTATTCCCCTTTCCAAATAAACATCGAAATACAATCAATTATCTGAGTCGTCTTTTGGTGGAAACGATTCAATACAGTGGATGGCATAATGCAACATTTCATCCTAACTGTAGAAGGAAGGCCTCAGATGTCCCTCCGTGTATTATTTCAGACACGAATGAGCACCTAAGTAAAAACACCGTGCATGCGTATATCTGTAAAATAATCCATGGAAGATTATATTATTTTAATTTTGTTTTTGATAAACAAATTAAAACATTAATCAAATCAATTAAATCAGTTACGATCATTTTACATTCTATCAAAAGCAAAATAATGTTGGGTAACATATGAACGTGCATTTTCAATTTCCCAAGCTGTTGATCTAAAACTAAACTTGTTTTATTAGCAGATATGTGAAAATAACTACAGACGAATATATAACTCTACAAGCAATAATGTTATACTTGTTATTACTAGTATTGGAATTTAAACATCAAATCAAAAAAATAAATAAATGTAAGCAACTAACAAACCATAACAAATACATCAAAATCTAATGTACATACATTCCTTGATCTTTTCTCTGTTGCCTGAAAAATAACAATTTTGTTTTATTTTTGTTTATGACAAGACTCAAATTAAAGAAGTTAGTTTAGCTTATAACATGATCAGAAATCATTGCGTATATAAAATATGCCAGTGCCTCGGCCATAAATATTGTAATGAGCCTATACAAAGTCCACTCCGTATATGTTAGACATTTAAAACAATGCAATTTCTACAAAAAAATGTAATGTGAAGGGCAAGAGATTTAAAGTCAACGACATTAACAATTCTTATAACAACGTACGTGATCATGCTTGATGACAAAAATATTGGATAAGATGTGAACGTGCATAGACAGTTTCTTTAACTGTTGCTTCGATTGTATTCATCTAACACGAGAGATGTTTTAATACTAACAAAATATACAGATATGCAAAATTATAAACAGTTGAATGTATAATTCTTTATGCAATGACTTTATAAATAATTTAAACTTGGAAATTTAAACATTTTAACCAACAAACAACAAAATTTACATTAAAATCTAATATACATACTCTTCTTGGTCTTTCTTGTGTTTGCTGAATAATAACAATAAATGTTTATATCATTGTAGGATAAGACGCCAATAAACAGTCAATGTGAATTGCATATCACAAATACTTACTGTCATGGCATGAATACCCCTGCATACCACTTTGTCAGAATCAACAGGGATCATTTAGAGCTCAAGGACATCCTCCCTGCCAAATCTATGGGTAGTAAGCCAGTGCATTATTAAGTTATGTAGTCTACATGTATTGAGTGGCAAATATCAACGTGAACTTTAACTTTGACGTACCGACCTCAAAACTGAAACTGTCAGTGCATGCCTTGAACCCCCTCCATTCATGAAGCTTTGTCAGGGGGTGTTTTATGATGAATATATGACAACATTATTATGCTTTAAATGTGAAAATGTCAAAATCAATACACTTTGGACAGGCATTCCGAAGCATTTGAGCAGACAAGCTTATTGTAGTAAAGCCCTGTGACAATGACGTTTGACACAGTCACCTAAAAATTGGGCAGCCAATTGGACAGACAATCATTTTGAACTAAAGGCCCCTGTGATCTTGGCCTTTGACTCAGTGACTTCAAAAACAATAGGGGTCACTAAATAGTCATGATCAACCTCCATTTCAAATATGAAGGTAGTGGGTAAAAGGATTCTTAAGATGTTATGCGGCGGACAAGCTGTTTTAAGTGAAGGCCCTTCTGACCTTAATCTTTGACCTAGTGACCTTAAAATCAAAAAGGGTCATTTACTAGTCATAACCAATCTCAATACCAAATATGAAGACTGTTGACCAAAGCATTCTGAAGCAATTGAGCGGACAAGTTTTATGAACTTTAGGCCCCTGTGACCTTGACCTTTGATCCAGTGACCAAAAATCAGCAGGTGTTACTAGATGGTCGTAAGAAAACCTCCCTGAAAATTAACAGACTGCGGGTCAAAGGATTCTTATGGTATTAAGCGGGCAAGCCTTTTGAACTTTAGGCCCTTGTGACCGTGACCTTTGACCAAGTGACCGCAAAATCGATAGGAGTAATCTTATAATCATGACTAACCTCCATGACAAAAAAAGAAGACTGTGGGTCAAAGAATTCTTAAGTTATTGGGCGGACACGCTTTTTGTAATCAAGGCCCCATGTGACCTTGACGTTTGACCTGGTGACCTGAAAATCAAAGGGGTCATCTACTAATCATGACCAATCTCAAATTATTAGGCGGACAAGCTTTTCTTAGCTAAGGTCCCTGTCACCTTGACCTTTAACCCTGTTACCTTAAAAGAAATAGGGGTAATCTAATGGTCATCATGACTAACCCCCATGCCAAATATGAAGACTGTGGGTCAAAGGATTTTAAAGTTATTGGGACAAGCTTTTCTAGTCAAGGCCCCTGTGACCTTGAACTTTGACCTGGTGACCTTAAAATCAATAGGGGTCAAATACTAAACATGACAATTTTAAATATCAAATATGAAGACTGTGGGTCAAAGAATTCTTAAGTTATTGGGCGGACAAGAAAAACCTGACGGATGACCAGACGGACGGACGGAGGGACAGACGGACAAGCTGATTCCAGTTTACCCCCTTACAACTTTGTTGTGCGAGGTTATAAAGATGTTTTAATGCAATTCTTAAAGAGAAATTATTATTATTATTTTTATATTGTCATATTTGTATAAAAGTCAACTGAATCAATAACCCCAACGATTTACATAAATATCTATAATTATCCTTCTGAATTTATTAGCAATGATTATTTGTAAAAAGAGTGGGCAGTGTCCTCACTTATAAGGCAGTTTTAAATGATATATATTATCAGTCTTCGGTCTATGACAATTATATAAGTTAATCTATTGAAATATACAATAAATAAATATCAACTTGACAGTGATAAAATGAACATAATGTCACCTAAGGAACATTTATTCGCTTTAAAATGGAAACGAAAGCCGAAAATAGTCAAACAAGTTCTGCGCTTTAAATATGTCTCCTTTTTGCGTGAAAAGGGTAATCCGACAACTTTCAAAAATTACACTTTTTTTAATTCGGTCAAATAATAAGACATTTACTAATTATATGAAAAGATTGGTGACTATCAATGTCAATGTACCTTGCTACTCTGATATTCCTGTCGGCCTAGTACCTTAAAAGGTTTGAGGCATTAAAGATCCCAATTTGTCACGCATAAAAGCAAGACAGATTGATGTTTATATCTTATATCTAACTGAATCATTTTTATCAGTTCGAGTACACTTTTTTGCTTGTGTATCATTTTTTATCAAAGAAAATAACTTAGATTTTAACATAAAAAACTTCTTCAAAACATACAATGTACAAGAGAATGTATATTGACACATTGACTAACTCAAATAAAAACAGTTGAATTGTCTTGCTGTTACAACAATAAACATGATTATGTCTTTTGAAATAATTGGTAAAGATAAGAAATTGCTGCTTTGCTCTAAATGAGTGTGTCCAATGAACATGATGTAAAAAAGAAATTTACTCTTTATAAACTAATATTTATCACTCGCTTACAAATTAAAACTTATCTTATGTACTTACTCCTCTTGTACTCTACGTAATCTGAAACAGATAAATGATAACAAATTTATTCTAACATATGAAAAAGAAAGTAGAAGTACATTTATCACTTCTTTTTTTAGAATAACATGCTGAATATAGACAGACTTTCATTTTCCTGGGATAATAAATTTAAGTGTTGAGCTTTATGTCGCATCAACACAGTATAGGTCATAGTACTAGTAGTGTAGTACTTTACTTTCAGAAAAATGCCTACACAAACATGAATTCTATGACCTTTTAATCAAAATCTAATCGATGTTTGAGAAAAATAGTCGTTTATTTTTTTCGCGTTTCAGCTACATGCAGTGGCTATTGACTGGAATCATGCGGGTAATTTTGTATAAAAAGATACCGTCCAATTATAACCAATATACAGTCTAATAACTTATGGCACTTTAATGTAGAAAAAAGATGTTATTAAACAGAAGCTACAGGGTAAATGACAGGTAAAGGACGGACATAGGGAAGCAAGTTGTGCTCTGGTGAGCTTATGAGTTGAAACTAAACTATCTTGCTACAATAATAACGTGCATGATCATATCTTGTAATGTAAAAGTTGGTAAAGTTGTGAACGCGTAAATGATTATTGATCTAATTGCACACAAAACAAATTTATAAATATTCAATGTACTTTCAAAATAATCTAAAACATAAATATATAATATATACATTTTTACAAGACATTGTTTGAAGATTATTAAATTTCATTTCTTTAAAAAAAATTCGAACATGTTATACTTGCAAATTAAAATTCAAAGTCAATTAATCAATTTATCCAACCGACAATATGTAACATATATTTTGTCATGTGAACATTCTGTAATATCTTAAAGGAGAATCAAATATACATACTCTTCTTGCTCCTTTTTAAGTTGGCTGAAACAAAATGATATTTTATAATGAGTATTCATCATATGAAAAAGAAAATAACAAATTAAGTATTATTTCTTTTAAGTGATTAAAAGTAGGCAATAAACACAATAAGACAAAGTTTATCTCAGATCACAATACTTTATGAGTCCTATATTAATACAGTAGCTAACTTTGTCCTTTATAACAAATATAAGCTTACAAGATTTTATACAAATTTCAATCGATACAGAAAACATCTTAATAAAATATAATAGTTCAAACTAAACAAGCAAATATGATAGGATATTTTGAATTCAAACGGATAAAACATTATTTTTTGTGTTACGTTAATAATAACTTCTAATAAGCAATATCTAATAAACTTACATTTCTTTTGTACGAAATCTTAAAAAAAATTCATTAAATTAATGATAATTCAGCATTATAGTTAAAACCAAAACTAAAGTATTGTTATAATGTTTTGTTTTTTGTTTGTTTTTCTTTCATGCAGTTAATCAAAATGTTGTTTATATTGCACAAATTTAGCCTTGATTTATCTTGGACAAAGAATGTCAATCAATATATTTTTTGTGGTAATGGCATACATATGATAAACAATTAAACACATTTCCTTTGTATACCATATTTTGTTCCCAATCTGAAAAAATTTTACCTAACTTCCCTTTTTTCCCCCTTTAAATTTTAAAGTAAGCTAAACAAAATATAAATTTACCCGTTTTCACCATATTAAAACCCCCAAAAACTCCCCCATTATAATAAAAACCCAACACCCCAATATTTACTTCGTTTATTATTTTCAAATTTTTGGTTTAAAAATTTGGCCCATAAGCCTCACAAACCCTATTTTAGGGTAACATGATACCCATATTTTATATCTAAACCCAAAACCCCGGAGCCCCTTCCGCCCCAAAAGCTTTTTCACCCCAAGTTAAACTTGTGGGAAAAGGTCAAAATTTAATTTCAATTTAGAAGTGAGTATTTAGTTATCCCCTTTTATTTGGTTTTGGGTTGGGAATAGCAAAACCCCGCTTAATGTCTACGCTCTAATCTGTTTGTTTTCAAAAAGATTTTGTAAATGTAGTCTTTGTAGACTAAATGCCCCTTAGGCTGCTCGACTTCTTGTAAAATAAATCTGGAAACAAAGTGATCCCTCTGAAGCATCAATCACAACAAAATTACAAGAGAATTGCAGACTCGGTTTGATTGAGTCTGTAAATTTCATAAAAAATAATCGAAAAAATCAATGTTATAAACAGAAAAAAAACTTTAAATGTTTAAAGTATGAGCTATGTAAACTAAGGACTCCGTGATCTAGGCCAAGTTTTGTTCTTACCCCTTAATTAAAATAAATTTGTCGATTACCACAAGATGATGATTTGTTTTAAATAAGCTCTTCACATTGCAGTTTTAAAGCAGAAGATTTTAATATATCTTGCTATTATAAGTCAATAGAAACTATATTACCATAAATCAGGGCATAATTTTGGAACCAGTCGCACGACATTTAATAAACCTTTGTAGGGGTTCACATGGCAATGTTACAGGAACATTATATAAGCCATATCTCATTGTTATTTTGCACAAGACGATTTCAATAATATTGCCACCATAAGTCTGCAAACACTAAGTGACGGGGCGGTCAATTTTAACCATGAGGTTATGATATATTAAACGTAAATGCGTAAATAGAGGGTAACAACTTGATGAATGCGAAAACTTTTAAAGGCATTTACTATGTTATTATACAACAGTCAATGGAGACATTTCAATATACATTTATGTATAAGAGAAATTTTTTTGTGTTTATTCCCCTTTCCTTATTAACATTGATACACAACAAACAATTATCTGAGTCGTTTTGGATGGAGACGATTCAATGCAGTGGATGGCATAATGCAACTTTTCAGTCTAACTTTTGAAGGAAAGCCTCAGATGTCCGTCTATGCATTATTTCAGGCACGACTACCTAAGTAATGAGTTACTGAGTAGAACCACCGACAACGTGCATGAGCATATCTGCTGATGAAAGAGTTGGTGAAGATATGAAAGTACATGTAAAGTTTCAGAAATGTTTGTACATCAGCTTTTTTCCAATCGAACAAAAAAGAAGAAATTGCATAATATATGAATATGTAAAATAATTTATAACACAGTATATTCTTTTATCTTTTGTTTTTGATTTACAAATTAAAACATTAATGAATTCAAACAAATTAATCACGATCATTTTACATTTCATCAAAAGCAAAATAATGTTGGGTATAAGATATAAACAGTTTCACGAACTGTTGCTTCGATTGTATTCTTCTAACACTAAACTTGTTTTATGTACAAATATATAAAGTTATCTACAGAAGAATGTATAACTCTACAAGCAATAATGTTTAACTTATTGTTATTGAAATTTAAGCATCAAATCAAAAAACAAATAATTGTAAGAAACTAACAAACCATAATAAATATATAAAAATCTTATGTACATACTCTTCTTGGTCTCTTTTCTGTTGCCTGAAAAATAACAATATTTCTTTTTATTTTTTCTTTATGACAAGACGCAAATGAAAGAAAGAAGTCTATGTTTATAATCAGAAATATACAAAAAGGCCAGTGCCATTTTACGGCCATAAATAATGTAATTGCTTTATACGAAGTCCACTCTTTTTATGTAAGACTTTTAAAATGCAAGTTTCTACAAAAATTGTAGAATTACTATGTCTAAGATTTAACTTAACATCTATATTTACTCCTTTCAAGCAAAAGTATCAGTATAAAAAGTGATATAATTTTCATTAAAATTTTATAAATAAATGCATACAATCAATGAACAGTACATTTGTTCTTTAAGTACGCATATTACAGTTTCTTTGAACTTGACTGCTATTCTATATTTACTTCTTACAAGCAAAAGTACCAGAATCAAATGTTATATATCTTACTATAAAGCAGTAAATAAATAAATACGATAAACAAGAGTACATTTCTGCTTATATTATGTGATGTAGCTGGCAGTATGAACAAATATCTTTTACAGTCGAAATCTAAAAAATACTGTGAAAAAGTGCAGGTGTTATTTTAGAAATTTTCAACCGTTTATCAGCTCAGTCTATTTGTGTTTCTATGTTTATTACGCATTTGTTAGATCAAGGAATGTCATACGATGTAGTATCTTCTGCTGTGTATGCTATAAAATGGATGCATTCTCTCAATGACGTAAGAGATCCTTCAGAACAAAACATTGATAAGCTTATGTTAGATGCGGCTATAAAGATCGAATAAAATGATGTTTTAGTATCTTTCTGGGGCTATGTATTTTCCTACTTGCAACGTTTTTTCAACCGCTGCTCGTAGCAAAATACAAAGCCTCAGAAACCTACTACAACATAATATTCCGTATATGTCTTTTTGAGATAAGAACACAATATGTAAACTTTGAGAAAATGCTGCTTTGCTCTTAATTAGTGTGTCCAATGAACATGATGTAAAAAGAATTGTTGTATATTACTGTTTATAAACTAACATTTATCACTCGCTAACAAATCAAAACTTATCTTATGTACTTACTTCTCTTGTACTCTACGTAATCTGAAACAGATTAATGATAACATTTTTATTTCAACAGATAAAAAAGAAAGTAGAAAGACATTTATCACTTTTTTTTAGAATAACATTCTGAATATAGACAGACTTTCATTTTTCTAGGATATTAAATTTAAGTGTTGAGTTTTTTGTCGCATCAACACAGTTAAGGTCATATGGCGACTTTCAGCTTTACGTGTAGATGGAGACTTTGTGCATTGCTTCACGTTCAATGGGGCAAGCGGGTAGAACCATCGTCGTTATGTAAGCTAGCTAGTTAGTTTTCTCACATGCTCAACAGGCCAAAAATTACTTAGGAGCACTTTACTTTTGAAAAAATGCTACCCAATAATAAATTCTTTGAAACTTAAATCAAAATTTAATAGTATAGTTTGAGAAAAATAGTCGTTAATTTTTTCCGCATTTAGCTACATGCAGTGTCTATTGACTGGAATCATGCGGGTAATTTTTTATAAAACTATTTCGTCTATTTATAACCAAAATACGCTCTTATCACGTATAACACGTTTATGTAGAACAAAAAGGTTATTAAACAGAAGTTATAGGGTTAATGACAGACGACAAACTAATAAGGACGGACATAGGAAAGCAAGTAGTGCTCTGGTGAGTTTATGAGTTGAAACTAAACTATCTTGCTACAATAATAACGTGCATAATCATATCTGGTGATGTAATAGTTTGTAAGTTGTGAACGCGTAAATGCAATTTTATGAATCGTTGCTTATTGATCTAATTGCACACAAAACAAATTTATAAATATTCCATGTACTTTCAAAATAATCTTAAACATAAATGTAACATATATTTTTCGATGTCCACATCCTGTAATATCTTAAAGGATAATCAAATATACATACTCTTCTTGCTCCTTTTTAAGTTGGCTGAAACAAAATGATATTTTATAATGAGTATTCATCATATAAAAAAGAAAATAATAAATTAAGTATTATTTTTTAAGTGATTAAAAGTAGGCAATAAACACAATACAGTACTGTAAGACAAAGTTTATCTCAGATCACAATACTTTATGTGTCCTATATTAATACAGTAGCTAACTTTGTTCTTTATAACAAATATGTGCTTACAAGAGTTTATACAAATTTCAATCGATACAGAAAACATCTTAATAAAAGTTTATTGTTCAAACTAAACAAGCAAATAAGATAGGATATTTTGAATTCCAACGGATAAAACATTAATTTTTGTGTTACGTTTATAATTTAATGATTAAGCGAGACTTACCTTCGTAGAAGTAAGGCGAAGATTGATCATAATTTCATACGACACAAAACTCCCTAAAGGCTCACACAGATTACAGACGCAGCGATCAGTGATGTGGAGTGGTCATATTTTAAAGTTTGTATCTTATGTATAAGATGACAATATTTAAAGAAATCCGTTTTGGGTGGTAGTGGGCGGGCGTGTGAGCCTTTAGGGAGTTTTGTGTCGGATGAAATTATGATCAATCTTCACCTTACTTCTACGAAGGTAAGTCTCGCTTAATCATTAAATTTCATCCAACACATAAACTCCCTTAAAGGGCCCACATATTGTTCAGAGAGATTTCTGATAAAATATTGTAAAAGGAAAAACGAGTACGCCAAAAATAACAAGAAACATATGTATGGCTTACTACATATTATTGTCAACTAATCATGCAATGAAATATACATTTATAGATAACTGGGCGATAACTGTTTTGTGTAAACATCATTATGCAAATGTATTGCCCGTACCTAATATTTGATAAACATGAATGAGGTTCATTCTAGCACAAAATTTTGAGTTTCAGTGGTAAGAATCTGTCTTTGATAATATTTAGCAAATGTCTTTGCTGTACTCCATCCCGCGGTTTTAATTATGTCAGATAAAGGGATTCCTTTATAAAAAGCATTTGACGTCGATGCTGATCTTGTACTATGAGGTTTGAATGTGTCAGCAAGGCCTGCTTTCATCATTGTTAATTTAATCCCTCGTGCTATTGTTTGTTTGGAAACATGTTTATGTGTTTTTACTGTTGAAATGATAAGTGACTCATCTATTCTTAAATGTTCACTTCTAGCGATATATTAATTTAAAGTTGTTACAATACATAGATTCTTTTTTAATTTATACGGATGTAAAATAATCGGTTCTAAACTGAACCCTGGTCTCGTCTGTTTCAAAAGAGTAGATATTTGATTGAAAAGGTTTTCACCTACTCTTTTAATGTCAGATAATTTTATAGTATGCAAAGTTTGGCATCTTTGAGCCGTAACAAGTAGAATTAGCATGCACAATTTACATGATAATGATAGAAAGGATGTTGTATCCATCTTTTCTAAGTAGTTTAGAACCATTTTTACGTCCCATGTTACTTTGTATCGTGGTCGTGGTGGTTTCTCATTAAAAATCCCTTTCATAACACGTGATATTATTTCGTTTTCATGTATGTTTAACTGACCAGTAATTCTCACAAAATTACTTACAGATGAACGTGCTGTGTTTATTGCAGAGTAACTCAGTCCTTGCTTGTGTAAATAAACAAGAAATTTGATAATATCAGTTATATTGTAATTAAAGGGATTAGCTTCCCGTCCACAGAAATGTAACGATTTTTTAACATTTTAAGTGTACTGTTTTCTTGTGCTTTTTCTCTAGGACTGTATGGTGATGTCTCGAGCGTCTCTCGGTATACCTTGCCTTCGTAAACCTGCCCTGATATATCGAAAACAGCAAGTCTCATCTTTTTTCAGAGGATGCTTTTGATTTGGTTTGTGTTCTAGTTTCAGAATTTTTTTCCACTTTGGGAGAATCAAACATGGACCTTTTATCAATTTCATGAGAATTGGCCACAACGTCTTGGTAGGCCAGATTGGTCCTATCAAAATTTCTTTTCCGTGGTCTCTTTCTATCTTTTGAACGATGCGTGCTATCAAGCTGAAAGGTGGAAATATGTAAAATAAAATATCTCACCACTTAAATGTGAATGCATCTACTGCAATAGCGGATGGATCGAGATATCGAGAAACATACTTTTTGAGTTTTGCATTCAATCTTGATGCAAATAAATCAATATTAATGCTCTGGTGATTTTGTAGGATTTTATCAAAATTTCTTTGTTCTAAAGACCACTCAATATCATCATTTCCAGTTCTACTAAGTTTGCCGTTAACATAATAATTCTTTCAATGCATCAGAACCATATTCTTCGTGCAATATCGTCGAGAGCTCGAACCTTACCTCCATATCTATTAATGTAAAAACAACATGTTGTATTGTCCGTATACAATTTCACAAGAATATTTTTAGAAGATTTACAAAAAGTGCGTAAGCCAATTTCACAAGCTTTCATTTCTAAAATGTTTATATGAAGTATTTGTTCGTTATGTGACCAGAAACCATTAGTTTTTTGACCGTTAGTTTCATTGAATGCCCCGAACATTTTTAATGAAGCGTCTGTGTATATAACGGTATTCGGATCTTGAGACAAGATATTTTTAAAACTGTTCTATATATTTTCCATACACCAAAGTAAGGTTGTATGTATTGACTGCGGTACATTCATGAAATTGTCGAAATTTCCCTTGTGAAGTTTTAAATCATTCTCTTTTATTTTTTCAAGCGGTCGGATATATAGTGGTGCATGTTGAACTCCCGGCTCAGCCGCCGTGAGTTTCCCGATAAGTTTAGCAAAGACACTAATAGTGATTCGTTTGGTGTTTAGTACTTTCGAACAAAGTTTAATTATATATTCCCCCTTTTCAGATGTTAGTTTAACTGTCATGGATACAGAACACAGTATGAAGCCTAAAAAGATAAGCTTTTTCTGATTTACCGTTAATCCGAGTTTATCCATTAACTGCACAGTTTCGTTTACATTACGCATACATGCCCGATAAGAATCTCTTACTAGCCAAGAATCGTCAATGAAATAAACACTAACATGACCTAATGCCCTAAGATAAGCGAACACAGGTATCTTTGTGAAAAATCGAGGGCTGGATGAATACCCCATAAGTAAATGTAAATTGATATTTTATATCATTGAAGTAGAATCGGAAATAACGCCGGTCCTGTTCTCTAATGTTTATGGAGTAGAAAGCATTTGATAGGTCAACAGAGGCCATAAAATAGTCTTTTCTCATAGCGTTAACTGCAGATTTGATCCAGATCTTCTACTTTCTCTATAACTCCAATTTTTTAAATTTATTAAGTTCATTCTCAATCTTTCTTTTTTCCTCTCTAGTAAAATTAATAGGTTTAGGAATAATTTTTTGCTTTGGAATTTCATTTAATACAACTGAACAGCCCCTAATGTTATTCAAAACCACTTGTCAGTTGTAATGGTTTTCCATATGTTAATGTTATTAGCTGTCTTACCAGCATGGAAATGTTCTGTTGTGTTTTGGACACTTATATTTATATTTGTACTTAAATTTATTATTTTCTCCCAATTTTCCCCTTCTGTTGTTGATTTTGCTGGCGATGCTGTGTTGTATTCCAAGCTAGTTGGTTGTTTCGTGGAGGGAAGGCCGGTGTGTTTTGGATACGCTGGTTGTGGTTGTAGTTGTTGAACGCCTTGTTGTTTTTCGATAAAAAAGGTTGCATGGTAGATGTAAGATTAGTTTTTGTCTCTTTAAGATGTTTTATTTCTTCTTGAAAGTTATCCCCAAAAAGTTTGGTTGCTGATGAAGGTTGGCTACACAACGGTTTGTATGATGGCAAAAGATATTTTTGATTTTTTCCCTTCGCGCATCGTTTGATTGATAAATTCCGTACGCTAAAATTTTGAATGTATCGACTGCAAGATCTCGTGCCTCTGATGCAGGTCCTTTCTCTTTAAGATTTTGCATTAGTTTTAGGATTGGAACAAGTGCATGGCATAATGTAAATTGATTTTTCTGCATTGCATAATCAAATGTTTTGGTTTATCGTCTTAACTGTTGCCAGAATTGCTCATCTACCTTTTGACTTGTAGATAACACATTTTTTGGTCTTTTATGCTTTGTTTTTTAAGCTAAACCCACTTTGTCAAACCTTTGGTTTTTCTCTTACAAACCCCCAAATTTTCCCCTTTTTGCCCCCAAAACTTTGGGAAATATTTCCTCCCCCCTTTTTAAAATTTTTTTTTAAAAAAAAAACCGTTATTTTAGCCCCTTTGCTTCCCAAAGATGCTTTCTTTGGGGTTTCCTCATTTTGGTTTAGCTTTAAAAATGAGGGGTTATTTGGGCATCACTGTCCCCAATCTTTGGAACAGGGGTGCACGACTTACTGGCTCCCCTCAGTTTTTATGCGTTTCGATTTAAGTTTCGCCCCCCTTTCCCGTTTTTCTTTTTGTTTTTTAAAAGAAACGATTTCTTTTTTTATCGATTCCATTAAAACGTGGGAAATTAAATTTTTTTTAGATTCCCCTGATGTTTCCAAATTCCCTTTTCACCTCCATAAAAATGATTTTGTCTGGGTGGGAATCCGTGAAAAGATGTTTTGATGCTCATGCGCATCTTGAATTTCTTCATCATTTCCGCCCTAGCGCTCTGCCAAGTTTGTCTGTTAGATAAAATGCCCGCTAGGAATTTTTCGGGTTGATGAATGCTCAGGAAAAATGAGCAATTATGTATGTTATATCTCATACTTAATACATAACAAATCTAGAAATGTGGTATCCATTTCAAATTTAGCATAAAACGCTTATCCATCATTAAAAAATGTATGATGTCTTACTGAATTTTCAAATTTAGAATAGAAAATATGATATACATTTTATCTATCTTAAATATGAAAGAACGATGTAAATCCATCTTGTAGTGGTAAAATATTTAAGGAATATCCATATATGATATCGATGCTATGATTATTTGCACATTTGACTTGTGCAGTGCTCCTTGTATATTACATATTAATATAAGTTTTAACAATTATTAACATAAAAGCAAATAAAAAAAAATAAAAAAATAAAATATATATATATCAATCAAAAGATATCAATATCATGACATACCTCATCACGTTCACTCATGTTGAATATCCAATGATCAACACTTAATAACTTGAATTAAAAAACAAATTTATTGAAGAACTTTGTTTAATAATGATATAAAGTTATTGGTAGCAGTAAATTAATTTAACCTAAGATTTTTCTGTCCACTCCGTTATCGCTAATGCCTCATTATGACCACTCCACATCGCTGATCGCTGCGTCTGTGATCTTTGGGGCCCTTTAAGGGAGTTTATTAGTCGGATGAAATAACTTCTAATAAGCAATATCTAATACACTTACATGTCTTTTGTACGAAATCTGAAAAGAAATTCATTAAATTAATGATAATTCAGCAAAACAAAACTATTGTTATAATGTTTTTTGTTGTTTTTTTTAATTATGCAGTTCATCAAATTGTCGTTTATATTACACAAATTTAGCCTAGATCTTTCTCCGACAAAGAATGTTTAAATAAATCAATCAATATTATTTTGTTGTAATGCCATACATATGATAAACAATTTAACACATTTCCTTTGTATACATATATGTTTCAATCTGAAAGCAATTTCTACTATACTTACTCTTCTTTCATTTTAGTTAGTCTGAAACAAAATATATAATTATCGTTACTCATCATATTATAAACAAAACTATTCCATATAATTATAATAACAGTCCAATGTTTACTTTTGTTTATTATTGCTACAAGTTTGTTAAAATAGGCATAAACTCTAAAATCTATGTTATGTAACATGATATCATATTTATATCTGAACCATAACCAGGAGACGGTTACCGCACCAAGCTGTTCATCTGAGTTAAACTTGTAGGAAAGGTCATAATTATTTAATTTAGAAGTGAGTATTTAGTTATGCATTTATTTGGATTGGGTTTTTTTTTTCTTTTATGCAGTTCATCAAAATGTCGTTTATATTGCACAAATTTAGCCTTGATCTATCTTCGACAAAGAATGTTTTAACAAATCAATCAATTTATTTTTCGTGGTAATTGCAATGCATATGATAAACAATTTAACACATTTCCTTTGTATACATATATGTTTAAATCTGAAAGCAATTTCTACTATACTTACTCTTCTTTCATTTTAGTTAGTCTGAAACAAAATATATAATTATCGTTACTCATCATATTATAAACAAAACTATTCCATTATAATAATAACAACAGCCTAATGTTTACTTTTGTTTATTATTGCTACAAGTTTGTTAAAATTTGCATAAACTCTAAAATCTGTGTTATGTAACATGATATCATATTTTATATCTGAACCATAACCAGAAGACTGTTACCGCACAACGCTATTCATCTAAGTTAAACTTGTAGGAAAGGTCATAATTATTTCATTTAGAAGTGAGTATTTAGTTATGCATTTATTTGGATTGGGTTCGATAGCGACACGCTTAATGTCTACGCTCTAATCTGTTTGTTTTCAAAAAGATTTTGTAAATGTAGTCTTTGTAGACTAAATGCCCCTTAGGCTGCTCGACTTCTTGTAAAATAAATCTGAAAACAAAGTGATCCCTCGGAAGCATCAATCACAACAAAATTACAAGAGAATTGCAGACTTGGTTTGATTGAGTCTGTGAATTTCATAAAAAATAATCAAAAAAATCAATGTTATAAACTGAAAAAAAAATATTTTTAAATGTTTAAAGTATGAGCTATGTAAACTAACGACTCCGTGATCTAGGACAAGTTTTGTTCTTACCCCTTAATTAAACTTAATTTGTCGAGTACCACAAGATGATGATTTGTTTCAAATAAGCTCTTCGCATTGTAGTTTTAAAGCAGAAGATTTTAAAATATCTTGCTATTATAAGTCAATAGAAACTATATTACCATAAATCAGGGCATAATTTTGGAATAGTCGCACGACATTTAATAAACCTTTGTAGGGGTTCACATGGAAATGTTACAGGAAAAGTATCTAAGCCATATCTCATTGTTATTTTGCACAAGACGATTTCAATAATATTGCCACCATAAGTCTGCAAACACTAAGTGACGGGGCGGGTCAATTTTAACCATGAGGTTATGATATATGAAACGTAAATGCGTAAATAGAGGGTAACAACTTGATGAATGCGAAAACTTTTAAAGGCATTTACTATGTTATTATCAACAGTCAATGGAGACATTTCAATATACATTTATGTATAGGAGAAAGTATTTTGTTTTTAATCCCCTTTCCTTATTAACATTGATATACAACAAACAATTATCTGAGTTGTTTTGGATGGAGACGATTCAATGCAGTGGATGGAATAATGCAACTTTTCAGTCTAACTTTTGAAGGAAGGCCTCAGATGTCCGTCTATGCATTATTTCAGGCACGTAAGTAATGAGTACCTGAGTAAAGTGCATGAGCATATCTGGCGATGAAAGAGTTGGTGAAGATATGAAAGTACATGTAAGTTTTCAGAAATGTTTTTACATCAGTTTTTTTTCCAATTACAAGAAAGTACAAGAAATTACATAATATATGAATAATATATTATATGTAAAATAATCTATAGAACAATATTTTCTTTTATTTTTGTTTTTGATTTACAAATTAAAACATTTATCATTCAAACAAATTAATCACGATCATTTTACATTTCATCAAAAGCAAAATAATGTTAGGTAAAATATAAACAGTTTCTTGAACTGTTGCTTCGATTGTATTCATCTAACACTAAACTTGTTTTATGTACAAGTATATAAAGATATCTACAGAAGAATGTATACCTCTACAAGCAATAATGTTCACCTTATTGTTATTGAAATTTAAGCATCAAATCAAAACAAATAATTGTAAGAAACTAACAAACCATAATAAATATATAAAAATCTTATGTACATACTCTTCTTGGTCTCTTTTCTGTTGCCTGAAAAATAACAATATTTCTTTTTATTTTTCTATATGACAAGACGCAAATGAAAGAAAGAAGTCTATGTTTATAACATAATCAGAAATGGTTTATATACAAAAAGGCCAGTGCCATTTTTCGGCCATAAATAATGTTATTGCTTTATACGAAGTCCACTCTTTATATGTAAGACTTTTAAAATGCAAGTTTCTACAAAAAATGTACAATTACTATGTCTAAGATTTAACTTAACATCTATATTTACTCCTTTCAAGCAAAAGTATCAGACGAGTATAAAAAGTGATATAATTTTCATTAAAATTTTATAAATAAATGCACAGTACATTTGTTCTTTAAGTACGCATATTACAATTTCTTTGAACTTGACTGCTATTCTATATTTACTTCTTACGAGCAAAAGTACCAGAATCAAATGTGATATATCTTACTATAAAGCAGTAAATAAATAAATACGATAAACAAAAGTACATTTCTGCTTATATTATGTGATGTAGATGGCAGTATGAACAAATATATTAATAATATATATATATATATATATATATATATATATATATATATATATATATATATATATATATATATATATATATATATATATATATATATATATATATATATATACGAGGGTTGTACAAAAAATTCGTGCACTGCATTTGTTGTCGTGAGAGTTATTAATAAAACAACATGAATTATATATATTATATCACTTGAAGGGGAAATCTGTCTCAAATAAGAAAACATAAGAAAAAGCCTTTTACACGGCGTGTTGTAAACAAGAATTGTCATTAAGTTACCTTAGTAACGTAAAACCGGCGCAAGCGAAAAGAAAAAAAATGGATTAGTTCATTACTGTGATTGTATTAACTTTTTGTCGCTTGTTAAGTGGCATTTGCTTTTTATGTCATAATTTGTTTACTGTCAATAGAGGAATGATTGATGCAAAGTATTTTGTAGGTTTTTTTTGTTCTATTGCAACGTACATATTCCATCAGTGCACGAGTATAGTGGACAACCCTCGTCATATGCGCCGGCATTACGGACGAACGTTTGCCTGATCGGTTGTGATCATCTATCTTCTCTCGCCCCCCCCCCCCTCCTCTACAGAGCATTTGTGGCATTCAAAAACCAGCCTTCGTTACACTGAACTTGTCACCCTTGCCCTTTTAATTCTTTGTAGGTATCTGTCGGTGTTTTACCAATACTTGCCCAAAATTTAATGATCGTCTGTATTTCCATACGTTTAGCGACTGAAATTTTCACGTAATTACAGTATTGACGACCATTTTACGACCGTTATAATAGGGCAAATGACGTCATATTTTCTATTGATGTCAGGAATACGTACACACACTTTTCCCTGAATTTTGACATTTATTTGCAGTGTTTAAAGAATACTGTGATGCATGTCATGAACTAACCCAATTTTTTGTCGTGCTCCGGTATTACGTTACCAAGGTAACTGTATGACGATTTATTTTCACGACACTCTAGTTACACAGCTTTTTCTTTTGTGTTCATATTTTAGACAGATTTCCACTTCAAGTGATATATAATTTCATGTTTTTCTATCAATAACTCTCACGACAATAACTGGAGTGCACGAATTTTTTGGACAACCCTAGTATATAAAAATACTGTGAAAAGTGCAGGAGTTATTTTAGACATTTTCAACCATTCTGTAAAGATAACAATCAAGTTGGTTTATCAGCTCAGTCTATTTGTGTTTCTATGTTTATAACGCATTTGTTAGATGAAGGAAAGTCATACAGTGTAGTATCTTCTGCTGTGTATGCTATAAAATGGGTGCATTCTCTCAATGATGTAAGAGATCCTACTGAACAAAACATTGATAAGCTTATGTTAGATGCAGCTATAATGATCGAATCACATTATGTTGTAGTAGCTTTCTGAGGCTATGTTTTTTCCTACTTGCAACGTTGGAAAATTGATATCAATTTTCAACCTCTGCTCGTAGCAAAATACAAAGCCTCAGAAACCTACCACAACATAATATTCCGTATATGTCTTTTTGAAATAATTTGTAAAGATAAGAACACAATATGTAAACTTTGAGAAAATGCTGCTTTGCTCTTAATAAATGTGTCCAATGAACATGATGTAAAAGGAAATGTTGTAAATTACTGTTTATAAACTAATATTTATCACTCGCTTACAAATTAAAACTGATCTTATGTACTTACTTCTCTTGTACTCTACGTAATCTGAAACAGATAAATGATAACATTTTTATTTCAACAGATAAAAAAGAAAGTAGTAGTACATTTATCACTTTTTTTAGAATAACATTCTGAATATAGACAGACTTTCATTTTTTTGGGATATTAAATTTAAGTGTTGAGTTTTATGTCGCATCAACACAGTTAAGGTCATATGGCGACTTTCAGCTTTACGTGTGGATGGAGACTTTGTGCATTGCTTCACGTTCAATGGGCACCCGGGTAGAACCATCGACGTTATGCAAGCTAGCTAGTTAGTTTTCTCACATGCTCAAGAGGCCAAAGATTACTTAGTAGCACTTTACTTTTGAAAAAATGCTACCCAATAATAAATTCTTTGAAAATTTAATCAAAATTTAATAGTATAGTTTGAAAAAATAGTCGTTAATTTTTCCCGCATTTTTAGCTACATGCAGTGTCTATTGACTGGAATCATGCGGATAATTTTTTATAAAAGATTTCGTCTATTTATAACCAAAATACACTCTTATCACGAATAACACGTTTATGTAGAAAAAAGAATTTTATTAAACAGATGTTATAGGGTTAAAGACAGACGACAAGGATAAGGACGGACATAGGGAAGCAAGTTGTGCTCTGGTGAGTTTATGAGTTGAAACTAAACTATCTTGCTACAACAAGTAAAAATGGTTTCCTGCGGGGAACATTTTTAATGATATCAAGATATTTCATTTAACTATTTTCAACATTGTTTGGGGGGCATAAATAAACGTTTGTATCAGGAATATAGTT